AGATTCTTGGGCCACAGTTGAGCTTCCAAGGCAGGTTCCATGGCACTGAGAGAAGCCAGTCCAAGCCCCAGGACTAGAGAGACAAAGGAAAGCCAGCCTGGGGAGCTCCTAAAAGGGAATTGTGAGGCTGGGATCCAGACCTCTGAGGACACTGCCTGGCTGCGGCTGCTTTCTCTGAGGGGTGCCATTAAGGCTGGACTAGACGTGCAGGAACATACAAAAACAAAATCAGAAAAATCAGAGGCTGGATCTGCCTGTCAGCACCATGGCAAAGACCCACGGCTGAGGTGCAGCTGACAAACAGCAGGCACAGAGGCAAAGTGAGTCCTTCTCTGCCCCAGGGTGCTAGTCTCCCTCCAGGGCTGCACAATGGCAGAGCCCAGCCACACTGGCTAAGGAGAATGTGGTTTGTAGAGCTCTAGTGCCAAGGTCAGAGCCAGGAAAGAAGGGTGAGTTTGGAGCTCAGAGCTTGAATAGATGACTGGCACAGAGAGCACCTGGCCCCTTCCTTTTCTTTCTTATATGTAACTGTCTGAGATCCGGGACATCCAGGTGCCCACATAACAGTAGCACTATAGTACTATAGTACTAGGCATGGGTATATAAGAACATAACAACAGTGGAAGTGACATTCTAGCAGGGTGCAGTGGTGCATGCCTGTAATCCCAGCGACTCTAGAGGCTGAGGCAGGAGGATCACAAGTTTGAGGCTAGCCTCAGCAACTTAAAACCTCCTCAAATGACAGACCTTGTCTTGAAATAAAAAATAAAAAGGGTTGGGGATGTGGCTTAGTAGTTAAGCACCCCTGGGTTCAATCACACACACCCCAAAAAGAACATCCCAAAGATAGAATACTGTCACCTTTCAATTTGTTTCTGTGGCAGAGAGTTTTATAGATGCAGTAGTCCTCTTTGTTCCCTGAAGGTTTGTCTCAAGACCCCCAGTCTATGCCTGAAACCATGAATAGTGCCAAACCCTGTGTATATCCATCTTTTCATATGATAAAGTCCAATTCAAAAATTAGAAACAGTAAGATATTAGCAATAACTAACAATAACTGTCTGAGAATTCAAACAATATATTAGACTAGAAATGATTTAACACCTATGGGTTGTTATTTCTGGAAATTTCCATTTAGTATTTCCAGGCTGCTGTTGATTGTGGGTAACTGAAACCCCAGAAAGTGGAACTGCAGATAAGGAGGGACTACTGTCATAGAGGTATTTAGATGAGACATTTCCAAAATGTGTTTGCACTTGTGAAAGTCATACTAATTACAGTAATTTGTGTGATTTAATTAATTACCAAGCTATAAAATTATGATTACATATGCTAATCCTAAGGGTCAGACCCACTTGGTGGCTTTGTTTTCCTTGTGATACTCAGCCTCTGGTCACACTGGGCTCACTCCTCATGGTTTGTTGTTCGCATGATGCACACATAGACATAAGACCCCAGAAGTGTTTAGCCAGGACATTGCTCAATACTGTTCTACTAGAAGTAAGGAAAGAAATACAAATGTGGCAACTGAGGGAAAACCTCCTCAAATGACAAGCCTGGTCAGCGCTGATATGTCATCTTCATCATCAGATCTTTGACCCCATCCCCGGGAAATCCAAAATGATGTTTTTCTGATGGCTTGAGATGGCCTTTAAATTTTCACAGATGGTCTAATATAGGCAGGAAAGCACAGAGAGTCTGTGGAACGTTGAATCTCAGCTCTGCCACTTCCAAGGTGACCTTGAGTAGATTACGTCAACATCTTTCTCATTTAAGAACAAAGGAAAACGTTCATTTGTGTGTCGGACAGGTACTCCTGGAGCACCTACCATGTGCCTGGTACTATTCTCAAGGTTGGGGACCAGTGAATCCCTCTATCCTGAATGAGATCTGTATTTTAATGCAGGAAGGCAAACAGTAAACACAGAAATAGAGACCATATTAGGTGGCGGTAAATAATATGGGGAAACAGCAGGATAGGTGACTAGGGAACCATGAGGAGTCATTTGAATAGAGGAGCCTGCCTGAGAACACAATATCTAAGGGGACTCTGTGGAGGACAGCTTTCCACCTACTGGGACCTGGAAGAGCAGCAGTTCTGTGGTGGAACAGGCTGGTGAAGATAGTGCCAGGCTGGGAGCATGGCAAGAGATGGGCCTGAGAATTACAGAGAGGGGAGAATGGTGCCTGCCCAGATCCTGGAAAAACATGGCAAAGATTTGAGCCAAGGACTGACATGATCCAAATATTTCTGGGTGATGAATAGAACCAACTGGAGAAGGTGGGGAGTCTAGTTAAGAAGATATTTCCATAATCCAGGACAAAAATGATGGCAGCTTAGAAAAGGATGCTAAGGGTTTGAGGTGTTGAAAGGTGGCTGAGCTCTGAGTAAATGTGAGAGGACAGGCCAACAAAATTGCTGACTCAGCGTGAGAGGAGAAGTGAAAGGTGGTCCCTTCACAGTTGTGGCCTGAGCAGCAAGAGAACGGGCTGTGCCCAAGGTTGTGGGAGGGGCTGGTTAATCATGGTAAACCTGTTGTGAGATGATAAAGTTAGGCAGTGATTAAGAAGATGAGATTATGGCACTGGCTGGTAAATGGATGAAACTCGAGAATATCATGCTAAGTGAAATAAGCCAGTCCCTAAAAACCAAAGGTCAAATGTTCTCTCTGATGCTAACACACAATAAGACCAGGGAAGATTAGAAGTTCATTGGATTAGACAAAGGGAAATTGGGAAGGGAAGGGGTAACCCCACATCATGTTCAACCACAAGAGTGGGATCCTAACTGGAATGGGTTGCACCCCATGTATGCATAATATGTCAGAATACACCCTACTGTCATGTGTATCTAAAAACAACAACAAAAAAAAAAAGAAAAGAAAAGAAAAAGGAAGATGTAAATGCAGCCAGCCTAGTTCAGCCCACAGTACCTATTCAGCCCTCCTCTTCCCTCTGCAACTCTGGTGATCTCTTCTTTCATTTTTTTAAGTTTTTTATTTTGTTCACTTTAGTTGTACATAATAGTAGAACACATTTTGACACACTATACATACATGGAGTATAACTCCCCATTCTTGTGGTTGTACATGATGTGGAGTTATACTGGTCGTGTATTCATAGATGAACACAGGAAAGCGATGTCTGATTCATTCTACTGTCTTTCCCATTCCCCATTCCTCCTCCCTTCCCCTGCCCCAGTCCAATCTGGTGAACCTCCACTATCCCCACAACCCTACCTATTGTGAGTCAGCATCTGCATATCAGAGAGGACATTCCTCCTTATTCTCAGATCTCAGAACAAAGTTACTCTTACTCACCGCCCTGCAAACCTGCCCTTGCATTCTCTACCTCTTCACAGATCAATATGTAGTCAAAACTGTTCCGCAGCAGTGAGAAGGTCAGCAACCCTCATCTGGAAGACTCTGAACACATTTGACAGAGGTAGATAAATTACATTTTAAAACAAAGGGAAGCATTTGCTATCAAAACAAGGCACATGGTAATCCTCCTAGTCCCTTAAAGTATTTAAAGTGCTTCAGTACCCCCCAAAGTTTCCCCAGTATTTTTTAATAGAAATTCTGTGAAGAGGGAAATATAATATTTTATAAGATTTTTTTCCTTAGAATTTATGAAGAGATGCTAAGAAACTGAAATCTCTAGAAATGTTTACTGAATATGTATTTCCTACTTATTTTTATTCTTTTATCTAAAATTTGGAAGCATGGTATTAGGAGCAAATAAGTAATGTAAATGTCTATGTGTTTGTATTATGTAAATATGTCTTAGCAATATCTTATCCAATGCTGACTTGAAAAATAACCAACATGTAAATAGATGCATACAGTTTACATATAAAAAAGATAAACTCAGTTCTTGAAAATTCCTTATTGCAGATTCATTTGAAATGTCAGTATTCACTTCACACATCTCTGTGCTCTTAAGAATCATCAGCATTTAATTTATGAGTGTTTTTAGATGGCAAGATTCCGCTGTTTAAAATTAAATCCAATCTCCTTGGTCTGAGTTGAGGAATACTTGCTTCTTGCATCTTTTCCAAAGCCCTCTTCTAGGCCCAATTTCCCACCATCAATCTAATCTTGAATCCAAAAGGGAACATGGCTTCCACCACTTCCCCAATCCAGCCCAGGGGAAAAAACAGAGAGAATAACAATTCCTGGGACAAATCACATATTTGTCTCATCACTGCTCTTCCTGTGTACCCAAGAACCATCTAGTGCACACTGCCTTCTACAGTATTAAAAACAGAGTAGAATGCAATTTAAGAAATGAACCCTACAGCTAGCTGATGGCCCACTGCTGCTGGGAAGCACATAAAAACAACCGGCTTACTTTTAAGGAGTGTGGGTCTTGGGGGGTGGTGGACGGGAATGTGCCTGAGATTACTCAGCTGTGGAAAGACAGGGCACCCAGCTTTGCCAAAAAGGCGAAGGAACACATAGGACTCCTCTCTCTTGCTTGGCAAGTAGGAGCATTGGCAGGAGCCACAAAATCCTTGTTGACTTAGGCTTGTGACTCATGGCTTTTAATATTAAATTATGGCATGATAGGACCTTTTTCAGGCTCCCCAAGGTACACAATAGAAAGCAAATGTCTGAGAGAAGATATCAATATTTAACATAAAATTCAGCAAAGTAATTGGCACTAGCTACAAGAAGCCCAGAGGTGACTACACTGTCTTTTGTTCATGTGTTTCCAAGATAACTTTCCAACTCATGACCAAGGAGTCCTTTATCTCCAAGAGGAATCTGCTTTTCATTTTTGTTAGGAATACTTCATAGTGCCTTCCTTCATGTGTAAGCCTGCAAGACTCATGTTTGAAGCAGGTGGTGAGATTGACCTGGGTCTCATTATCGTGGTCGTTATTAAGAGTTTTGACTCTACTGGCATTAAAGTCTATCTTTCAGCTGGGAGGGCCCTACCTTCTGACTTAGATGGGAAAGAAGATTAATTTTGACTGGTCTGTTTTTGAATTTCAGGGATAGTCGCTGTTCTCTTCTGTGGAGTCACACAGGCACACTATACCTACAACAACCTGTCGTCAGATTCCAAAATGAGGACTAAACAGGTAAAAGAAAAAACTCACTACAGGCTTTGTCTCTTTGTCCGTGTAATGGTTGTGTATTCAGAAAGAATTTTCTTAGTGAAGAAGAAAGTAAGCTTAAGGCTTCATTAAGGGTTGGATATTTATAGATTTTTTTTCCCCTCCAGGATAACCATTAACAATTCTCTTGGTAAGCAAAAAATATAGTTCTAATAGTCTCTTCCTCCTGAGAGATGGGGAACATAGACTGTCAGTCTCGAAGATGAAAGGCTTACCATCAGTAATAATTCACAGTCACTTACATCTAAAAGCATTATAAAGCATGTGAGATTGGGTAGTTAGAGAGAGAGGAGGAGAGGAAGAATATGGAAGTGATGTTTGGTCTTTAATTGAGTGCTTTTGCTTCCAAGAAAATTCAACTGCCAGTTGTCTCACCAGCAGAATGTATCTCTTTTATTCTGAGAACCCATCTTTTTGGTTTATTTGCATTTGAGCATACATAGATTCCTTCCATAAACATTATTTACACAGCCACTTTGTGCCAAGAATTCTGCTGGGTACTAGGAATACAAACACAGTATATGACTGCCTTCAAGAAGTTCCTCAAGTCTATTGATGAGGATGAAGGTGTGTAATGAACAAGAATCCAGTGTTAAGGACTGTGATCGAAATATCTGTGTTGAGTGTTTGAGAACATTCAGTAGGGTGTCTTCCACTTAGGACTGGAAAATCAGGAGAAAGTTGCCAGAGATGATGCCCAACCTTGAGCAAACTAAAGTACTGATATAAAGATTTGGGGTCCAGCAGGGGATGAAAGGTAGCAAGAAGGACACTTGAGGCCAAGGGATCAGCAGGGACAAAGTCTCTGACTGAAGCTCTGAAAATACTTCAGTGTGGCTGGTGCTTAGGGTGAGGCTGAGTCAAGGGGGATTCGGAAAGGAGAGACCATAGGTAGAGCCACAGACCAACTTATGAAAGGACTCACATACTTTGGGAAGAATGTTATCCTACAGATAATGGGGAGTAGCATAATTAATAAGAATGTATTGTGTCTCACACTTCTCGAGTTCAAAAGACTAAAATGAAGGTGTTGGCAGAATTAGTTCCCTCCAAGGATGTGAGGGGAAATCTGGACTATCTCTGCCTTAGCTTCTGGTGGTTTTTCTGGGCACGTTTGATGTTCCTTGATTATAAATGCATCATCCTAACTTTGACCTTCATGTTTACGTGGCATTCTCCCTGTGTGCCTAACTCCAAATTTCCCCTTTTTATAAGGATACCCAGTTATAAGGATACCCTTTTATAAGGATACCCTCCTCCAATATGACTTCATCTGAACTAATTACATTTGTTAGTTACCTATTTTCTAATAAGATCACATTCCAAGGTTCTGAAAGTTAGAATTTCAACATATGAATTTGGGGGCAGCACAATTCAGCTCAAACATGATGTGTTTGTTTATTATTATTATTATTGATTTTTTTAAAAAAATAAATGACAGTGGAATGCATTACAATTTAATCCTTAGCAGGAAGAGTGAAGCAGGTGGCATCATTATACTAGACCTTAAACTACATTACAGAGCAATAGTAACAAACATGATGTTTTTAAAGGTCCTTAGGCAGAATAATTTTAGGATAGCTGGAGTTCCATTTTAAACATATCACTCTGGAAGACATGAGGAACATGAATTACAGGCACTTGTATCAGTTAGCATTTGCCGTGTAACAAACAATCCTAAACATCAGTGGCATCCAACATTAAACGTTTATTTATCACCCACGAGACTCAGGCATTTTGACCAGTGTTGGACATGGTGGCTCTGCTTATATCAACTGAGCTTTTTGAATGTCTGTGGGTTTGTCAGAGGCTCTATTCTAGGGTAAGCTTGACTGAGGCACCTTTGTCTTGTGCCTGTTATTTTTCTGGTTGAAGAATATGCCCCATTGTTGAAGCAAGTTCATTTCAACCATTTGCCCACATGACATCTTTTAAATATCCTATTGGCCAAAGAAAATCATATGGCCGAGTTCAAAGTCAAGAGGCCACGCAGATTCCCAGTCCACACTGGAAGGGCACTGAAAAGTTACGTGGCATAGTGTAGGGATCTAGCATGCTATGGTGTGGATTTTAGGTATCCCCCCAACGCTCCTGTGTTAATGCAGGAATGTTTGGAGGTGAAGTGATGATTGGATTCTGAGAGCTGTAACCTAATCAGTCCAGCCTAGTTTGAATGGACTGACTGGGTGGTAACTATAGGCAGGTGGGGCATGGCTGGAGGAGCTGAGTCACTGGAAGTGTGCCCTGGAAGGGTGCATCTGGTCTGTGGTTCCCTCTTCCTTTCTTTGCTTCCTGGCTGCCATGAATTGAGCAGTGCTTCCCCACCATGCCCTTCCACCATGATGTCCTGCCTCACCTTGGGCCTTGAGCAATAGAGTCTGCTGTCTGTGGACTGAGACTTCTGAAAATGTGATCCCCAATAAACCTATCCTCCTCTAAGTTGTTCTGGTCAGGTATTTTGGTTACAGCAATAAAAAGCTTACTAACACATAGGACTGGTGAAGAAAGATTGAAT